GCTTCATCATACTTTAGCGTGTTTCAACGTGCATCAGCGTGCTTTAGCATGTTTCAGTGTGTTTTAGCGTTCCGCAGTGTGTTTCAGCACTCTTCAGCGTGCTTTAGTGTGTTTCAACGTGCGCCAGTATGCTTCAGCATGTTTCGGTGTGCTTTAGCGTGTTTCAGCCTGTTTAAGTGTGTTTCAGCGTATTTCAGCGTTCTGCTGTGTGTTCCGGTGTCTTTCAGCGTGCTTCAGCATGTTTCGGCATCTTTAAGTGCTTCAGAGTGTTTTAGTGTGTTTCATCGGGCTTCAGCGTGCTCATAACTTATCCAACGTATGCCAGTGTTTTTGCCAGATTTTTTCGTACGTCAGGCATACGCCAGTCTAAATCATGGAAGTGTGACAGCGGCTTTCCCAGTTTAACCAGCACTAATCATAATGATAAACTCTACCTGTTTCCATCAACTGCCTGAGTTTCTGCTCCACCACCGCTGCTCTGTTGTCAATGTGGTTCTGTTCCGCTTCCAACGCCTCCATCTGATGTAACACATACTGGCTGGTGTCCTACATACATGGATGTTAACACATAGAAATCAGCTTTCAAGATGAGATGAAAATATGTTATTTAGTTGTTAGAGTCAGTTATCAGTCCCATCCTCACCTGACCCTCTGGTTTCTCTTCTTCTACTACAAACTCTGATTTCTCTGCAGAGTAAATGCAATTAAATAAATTAAATCTTCTAAGATGTGTCATAACTGCTGATCTAAGGAAACCTAAAGAACACCTACCGGTTTCTGGGTTCCTCCCCTCCCGTTCTGTTCCGGCCTAGAGAGAGAGAGAGAGAAGATCCTTGGATTAAAGCCACGAGTGAAAAACAACTTTAAGGAAGATGAACAGATATAGTAAAAAAGGCGCCGTACCGGCGAAGTATCTCCATCATCAATCGACCCGCTCTTCTTTTGAGATCTACGCTTCTTGACTAGATCCGCATCCTTGACCCGGGAGAAGCCCTTAGAGAGGACATGAGACCTTGGAGGAGCCACGGGAGACTGAGAGCCGGAGGCCCCTGCCGCCCCGGGGACCGGTAGCCGTTTGGACCGTGGAGGTGGAGCCATCTCGGCGCTGCTTTGAGGCTCATCCTCCGCAGGGCCTCCACTCGTGATCGCCTCCAGGCTCAGACCTTTCTCCTGGAGTTTCTGAGCGCAGTAGCGAACGGTTGCCTCTGGGTCCTCCTGCAGCTCCTGGCTCCCTGACACCGCGTAATTGGACTCACTGCTGTTTTTATCGATATGAAGCACACTGAGCTGCTGGCCGGTGAAATGGGTTCGTATTTGGTTGAGGTAGGTCATAACGATGAGGCGGTCGGGTACCGCCAGCATGACCATATCCGAAGGCTCTATCAGTCTGGAAATACCGAGTTCGGCAAAACCATCGAAAGCCTAAAACCAGTAAAGAGAGAAAAAAAAGCAATTTTCACGTTTGAAACAATTATGAAGACAAGAGCGAGAAAAAAAAAATGTCATTCACCATTTTGTTGTTGATCTGGATATCGTACGGGTTCAGCATTTCAAAATTTCTATAAAAACGAGAAACGAAGAGAAGAATGTTAGAAAACGTGAAATCATATTATTCTATCT